GGGCCGGCGCCGTCCGGCCGGCAGGCGCACTGCACGCAGGTGCGGACCCGGCGGCTGATGAAGGAGCTGGCGGACATCGCCCGCCTGAGCGACCGCTTCATCTCGGTGGAGCTGGTGGACGAGAGCCTCTTCGACTGGAACGTCCGGCTGCACCAGGTGGACAAGGACTCGGTCCTCTGGCAGGACATGAAGGAGACCGGCACCGACTGCATCCTCCTCAACCTCACCTTCCCGGACAACTTCCCCTTCGGGCCGCCCTTCATGCGCGTCCTCAGCCCCCGCCTGGAGAACGGCTACGTCCTCGACGGCGGCGCCATCTGCATGGAGCTCCTCACCCCCCGCGGCTGGTCCAGCGCCTACACCGTCGAGGCCGTCATGCGCCAGTTCGCCGCCAGCCTCGTCAAGGGACAGGTAAGCCCACGGAGGCGCCCCCGCCGCCGAGCGGTCCCACTGCGCTGAGAAATCCCACTCAATGTTCCCTCTCAGCTGTGGAGTCTTGTGAGCAAGAATCCCACTTGGTGGGCCACTGGCATCGAAGTGGTGAGCCAGCTTTCATGCGCTAGGAGAGCCCTGACTGAGTACAGGGACTCACAATGTTCCCTCTAAGCTGTGGAGCCTTGTGAGCAAGAATCCTACTTGGTGAGCTCCTGGCATCAAAGTGGTGAGCCAGCTTTCATGAACCTAGGAGAGCCCTGACTGAGTACAGGGACTCGCAATGTTCCCTCTAAGCTGTGGAGCCTTGTGAGCAAGAATCCTACTTTGTGAGCTACCGGCATCGAAGTTGTGAGCCAGCTTTCATGCCCTAGGAGAGCCCCGACTGAGTACAGGGATTCGCAATGTTCCCTCTAAGCTGTGGAGCCTTGTGAGCAAGAATCCTACTTTGTGAGCTACCGGCATCGAAGTTGTGAGCCAGCTTTCATGCCCTAGGAGAGCCCTGACTCAGTACAGGGACTCGCAATGTTCCCTCTAAGCTGTAGAGTCTTGTGAGCAAGAATTCTACTTTGAGCTACCGGCAGGGCCGGCCCCGGCTTATTTTGCACCCTAGGCGAGGATCCCTTCTGGCACACAGACACACCCCGTGCGCCCACCAATTTTCAAAAATAAATGCATTTTAGGAAGAATGAAAAACACAAATAATCAAGAAACGTCCAGAGTATGAGGCCGGGTTCAGTTTGGCGCCCCTAAGGGCCATCCCGCTCTAGGCAATCGCCTAGTTCGCCTAGTGAGTGAGCCGGCCCTGGCTACCGGCATGAAAGTTGTGAGCGAGCAATTTGGCTGCTGCATAAATTAGTTTTCTCTCTGGAGCCATCTTTCCTGAGCAAAGACAAAGATGTGTGAGCTGGAGGCTAAGAAACTGTGAGCTGGCTCACGTTAACTCGGCTTAGAGGGAACACTGACTGGCATTACGGTTGGCTCCGAAGCCATCCTTCTGGAGCTGAGTCCTAGCTACACAGAGTCAGCTTAGAGGGAACACTGGCCTCCCTGCCAGTGTTCCCTCTAAGCTGAGTTAGTGTGTGCTAGCGCACAGGTTTTTAGCCTCTGGCTCACACATTTCTGTCTTCGCTCAGGAAGGAGGGCTCCAGAGCAGACTAATCTATGCAGATGCCAAATCGCTCGCTCAGAACTTTAATGCTGGTAGCTCACAAACTAGAATTTTTCCTCACAAGACTCCACAGTTTAGAGGGAACATTGCTCCCTGTACTCAGTCGGGGCTCTGTAGCAGATGAAAGCTCATCACATCTCCCCCTAAGGCCCGCCCAGGGGATCCGGGCTCTCCCGGCTTCTCTGCTCCCTGGGAAACCTCACATATGGGAAGGGCCTTGAGCCTCCTCTCCCTTCTGGTAAGCGTGGCTGTTTGCCGGGGACCAGGGCTCCCTCTAAACTGTGGAGTCTTGTGTGCAAAAATCCTACTGTGTGAGCTTCTGGCACTAAAGCTGTGAGAGAGCGATTCGGCTGCTGCATACGTTATGTTTGCTCTGGCGCCCTCCTTCAAAAATGTGTGAGCTGGAGGCTAAAGAACGGTGAGCAGACACACACGGATTCAGCTTAGAGGGAACACTGCTCCTAAGCCCATCCCTTCCCAACCCCCCACTGCCACCACCCTCTGGAGGGGGCCAGAGCCGAGGCGTGGTCTTGACCCGACTGGCCGCAGCCTGGGCCCAGGAAGGGTGCTGTTCCACTTGCGTGCTGCAGGTGGCTGGGAGCCAGCGAAACCCCTGTGGCATATGGGGGGGGCGCCCTCCTCTTGCTGCTCGGCCCAGCCCTTGCTTGGGTGGCCTGACCCAAGGACTGCCCCTGGCTTGAGCCATCCTTGCCGGGAAGGCCTTGCCTAGAGGATATCTTGCTGCTTCTTCCATCTGTGCTGAAGGAAAAGCACTTGGAGCGCACATAGAAGTGTTCTTGCTTGTTTTGGTGGTTCCTTGGTGTTCAGAAAAGCATTTCTGGCTGCAGCCCCCCCCCCCCCCCTCCTCCCCAAGATATTTTTGTTGCCTTCCGTTATACCAGTCGCTGGACTGCACTGTGGGAGAGGTGAACGCCTCATCACCCCGCACAGGATGCTAGGATGATGCCCAGCCAGGTCCTGGCGCCCTCTGGTGTGACATTGCAAGGAATCCTGGGGGCCTGTCTTGGGCTGCATTGTGCTTCATCTCCGCTTCTGAAAATACCGCATCCCACAAGTCAACTGCATCAGTCAAAGGAGGCTTCCAGGCCGAACATTGTGTCTCTCCCTGCTGTCTGGCTGTTGAACCCTTCTGAGAACTGAACCACATAATGTGGCACATAGAAGGAGCCCTTTTTGTAGGAAAGTGAGTTGTTAGCCTTTCAGGCGCTCAAGGTGGAGTCTGTGGAGAAAGGGGGGAAAGAGTCCATATTTGTGCAGGCAGGAAAAGACGACTGCTGTGTTGACTTCCCAATTAATGGGACTCTGTACAGCCTTCCCAGTTTAAGGAAACATGACTTTCTGGGGGAACATAAAAATACAGAAAGAGTAAAGAAAGATAAAATAATTGATATGCACTATCGGAAAATTCTACATTAAACACTTTGGAAAACAAGCACTGGAAATTTTTCAACATCCTATTTAGCATTTTTCTTTGAATTATAAAAATTTAAAAGTACTCTGTTAATTTTATATTTCAAAAGTTTTTCCAACAGCCAAAAGGCATTGAACTGAAATACCTGATCACCATTCTTAATGTGGTTTAATAATATGAACTATCATCCAATAAATTCAGAGTTTTACTTGGATTTTATTTTTATTAGAATCCTTCCTAACATTTTAAGACATGACAACTTAATGGCATATGCTTCCCTAATGTCATTTAAACTTTTCGGGGGGGAAAGATGGAAAGTGTTAACTTAATAAATTTAGCACTTCCCAGAATTGGGTATGATATGCTGTTGTCATCCACCAATTTATACTCGTGGAGTTTTAATGTTCACCTTCCCAATTTGCTGTTACTGTATCCATTCATTGTGTAACTAATTCGTTTTTAGAAATGAAAAAATTTCCACATCATAATATTATATTGGGAAATTTTCAGGAGCGTGTTTTCCCGCTCGCTACCATCACCCAGAACACTAGAATTTGAATCCAATGAAATTGCTTTAGAGCAGTGTTCCCTCTAAGCTGAGTTAGTGTGAGCTAGCTCACTATTTTTTTAGCCTATGGCTCACATTTTTTTCTCTTCGCTCAGGAAGGAGGGCTCCAGAGCAAACTAATTCATGCAGGAGCCAAATCAACTGCTCACAACTGTAGTGCCAGTAGCTCACAAAGTAGAATTTTTGCTCACAGGACTCCACAGCTTAGAGGGAGCATTGCCTTAGAGGGATGCTTCTTCTTCGAATGATAAAACTTGGGCCGCTCCCATGCCATAAGATGGGAAGGGGGGAGGGGGCTCTAACTCAAAAAGCTGAAAGGAAAAAAGAAATCAAAGCAAAATCTTGGGGGTACAGTGCCCTGAATGCTGGAGTCCACCAGTGCACTAGCAGTGAGCAATGCGAACACAAAATGGGACCACTCCAATGTTCCCTCTAAGCTGTGGAGTCTTGTGAGCAAAAATTCCACTTTGTGAGCTCCTGGCATTAAAGTTGTGAGCGAGCAATTTGGCTACTGCATAAATTCGTTTGGTCTGGAGCCATTCTTCCTGAGCTAAGACAAAAATGTGTGAGCTGGAGGCTAAAAAACCGTGAGCTAGCTCACGCTAACTCAGCTTAGAGGGAACAGTGAGTCCACTGCCGTATTTCTCAGGTGGGTATCACCTTATCCTGGACAGCGAATCGAGTGATGGTCATCTCTGTTATGTAAGCCTCTGGTGGGCCACTGTTGGACTTGGATCCAGCAAAGTAATTCTTCCGCTCCGTAGTGGTCCCGTTTGGAAAGGTTTTTGCTCTGGGGCTTTGTGGTGATATGTGGAGGTGAGATGATGCAGAACAAAGATTTGAGACCTCAGAGGAGAGATTCTACGGGCCCACCAAAATTTATGGGGATGTGTAGGATAAAAGGGAGCCCTTGAGCCCTGCTGGGATCTAAGGGTCGGCGTTCAGTAAGAGCTTTGCCTGCTGCTCATCCTGAAGAAACCTGCCCCCCAAAGTCAAAGATATTTGTTCATTGCAGTATTACTAATTGGTTCATTGGCTGTGTCATGAGGAGAACCCTCTCCCAACCCCACACGTGTCCCATGCCGTTACTCCAAAGAATTTACAACCAGAAGACGGGGCAACCAAGTCAGACACGTATTTGCATGGGGACCATTCCGTCAGCACAGCTGATTCAGTTCCTTCCTGTGTGAAGATGTTTTTTTTTAAAAATCCCCCAAGGTCATTTCCTGATGCAGTCTGTAGGGATTTGGGGAGGGAGACATCTAGAAGCCAATCTGTTCCCCTCCCCTTTGGTGTAAGAGGTTCAAGGGCACTCGATGTGTGAAGAAGGGCATGTGTCGCTTCCTCCCTGTGAGATGCACACTCTGATCACAGATCAAAGCAAGATCTTAGGGGGAACTAGATGAGGCGGTGGGAGATCCCTGAATAGATCTACCCAGCATTATTAAAGAGAAATTGCCGCTGCAGGGGCCCCCTCCCTGTTTGGGATCACAGCATGGGAGAGGGGGAAGAGAATGGATTTTAATCCTTTCATCTCCTGAATGGCTTTGCTGGTAGGAATACAAGCTGGAAGGGGGGGGGAGCTGGTTATCGTCTGAGAGCCAACGCCTATGGAGCTCCCCATAATTGTAATGTTCCTTTTAAAATATCTGCTGCTGATTTTTTCAGTGTCTTGTCTGATTTGGCCCTTAGATTACACTGTACGTCCTTGAATGCATCCCCCATTTGCTCGTAGTAATTTTGCATGGGCAACCCTGTGTTACGATCCACTTCCTAGATTTCGGATCTTTTGTCTTTTTCAAACCACA